TAGTGCTCAGTTCCCATTCCTAAAGTGTTTGATTCTGATTTAATTGATTTGATCTGTATTGTAAGCAATGGAACTAATAAAGAAGGAACCACACAATTATTTAGTATAACTGGTTTAAGATTTTAGGATTAGAGTCCAGAAAAGTAAATTCAAAATGCACAGCATCTACTTACAAAAATATGTGATATTTCAAATTCAAAAAGCATGCAGCAAGTTAGAGACAATAACGTAATAATCGAAAATTTACTACCTAAAATCATAGATACTTTGCAGAGGGAGGGTGAGGAAATTGTATCAGAAGCATAGGGAAAATAAGTTTAAGGCTACATTAAACTTACATGTCAGGAAATAATTCTCTTATGCCTGTCACACTTAGGAATATGAATATGGTAGTGCTGATATTATGTTATAATATTGATATTGCGTAGCATGAAAGTCATGCCCCAAAGGAGAGATCACTTCAGGATGTCATAACTTCAGGAATAATAATGATAGTGATAGTAATTATTATAAGGATATTTTTATTCCTATAATTATTACAAGAATAATGAGTAACAGCGAGTATTAACTATGTGCTAGGTGTTATTCTAAGAACTTTTTATGTATGCTATTATTTAATTCTTTTGTTTCTGTTTTGAGACAGGGTCTTACTGTGTAGTTCAGACTGGCCTTAAGTTCACTATATGGCCTCAGACTTGCGGGGATTTTCCTGCCTTAGTCTCTTACAGGTGTGTGCCACAACAGCTGGCTATTTTTACAATGGCTATTGCTTTGTTTTTTATTGCTAGTACTTAGAACCCTCAGGAAATGACTACTTTTCAGAAGTGTCCTCAAGGTGTAGCTGGTTTTTGGGTTTTCAGTGTGTTGCGAGATCCTACCTCTTCAATTTGTTGGGGATGAGAAGTTGCTGCTTGCTTGGCCTAGCCACTGGCTCTTTGCCACTGTGCCAAAGTATTTTCTATGACCCTTAGGCAATCTCAGTCTTGGTATACCAGGAAGAAGAGCTGATTAGAATCATTATGTCATTTTAGCTGAAGTGGTACAATCAGCAATAACAGTAGCATTGAAAACATCCTAGAAGCTGGGCGTGGTGACACGCCCAGCACTGTAATCCCAGCACTTGGGAGCCTGAGGCAGGAGGATTGCTGTAAATTTGAGTCCAGCCTGGGGTACAGAGCGAGTTCAAGGCCAGCCTGAACTGCATAG